TCTTATTTATTTTCCGGCCCGCTACTTTACCATATTCTGTTCCTCCGTAAGTTTCACTTCTTATTTTTAGGGTTCCTCTAAAATAAACTCTAGATCGTCCGCAAAGGCTTGTAGCTTATATTGTTCTTGTCTGATTTCCAGACCTTTAATCTGATGATCTTTATGGATGTTTCTTGACAACACTTCTAATGTCAAAATAAACAATAATGGGGATAGTGGGCAGCCTTGTCTGGTACCTTTTTGTATTGTGACATTTTGTGTCACCTTACCATTAATTATTATTTTGGCCTTTTGTTTTGTACATATTGCTGTAACCATGTTTATAAATTTATTGCCAAAATCCATATTTCTCAATTGTAGTAGAATGAATTCCCAGTTTACATTATCAAATGCCTTTTGGGCTCAAGGAAAAGTAGTGGCACTTGCTTTTCATTGTGGGTTTTATAGTTTTCTAATCTATCAAGAATTGTTCTGATGTTTTTTTTATCTGTCTTCTAGGTAAAAAGCCATTTTAGTCAGAGTGAATGAACATATTGATAATTCTTTTCAGGCGTTCTGCTATTATAGAAGCAAAGATTTTATAATCTATGTTTAGTAATGAATTAATTTAGTAATTTAGCTTTTTTGATGACATTTTTGGTGTTAGGTGTCCATTTTAAGTCTTGAGATATAATAGAACCTAGAAATTTGAAGGTCTCTACTGTTGATCCTGTGTTGTCTAGTATTGTAAGAGGTGGTAGTATGGGGGGGTTTCTGCTGAAGTCTACCACCATTTCTACAGTTTTGAGTGTGTTCAGTTCCAGATTGTTCTGGTCGCATCACAAGGCAAGTTGTTCAACCTCCCGTGGTTTCATGGTTTTAAATCTTTGCCTATAAGCAGGTACAAGGTGAATCATGCAATGATCAGTGTCCCACAGCTGCTCATGGTAAAGACCAATAAGCATCTTTTAATGTTATGTAGTAATGGTCTAAAGCAGTGATGGCTAACTGTTTCTACCTCGCGTGCTGAAAGCGCGCACGCACATGCCTTCACCCATAATGCCATGTGCACGCGACCCCCACCCCTCCCGTCACACACCTCTGCGCACGTGAACCCCCCACCCCATGCATGCGTGTCTCCCACACATGCACGGCAGATATCCGACAATCAATTGGCTGGTGGGGGTTGCACACATGCATGTGCAGTGTGGCTGTTCCGGTGACCTCTCGTGTGCTGGCAGAAATGACTCTGCGTGCCACTTCCGGCATGCGTGCCATAGATTCACCATCACGGGTCTAAGTATTCTTGCCTCTCGTGAGACAATTTACATGCTGAAAATATTTTGGTAGCTCTTTCCTTAAGTTAGGTTTGTTAAAAACTCCTAAAACAATAGGAAGTGAATCTGGGTATTTAACTTCAGCCCACATAATCTGGTCAACTGGAGTTCCTAATGTATTGTTTTACACAAGCTTGTGGAGGAACGTACACAGCAATTAGGAGAAATGAGAACCGTTGTCGAGAATAAAATGGCTTGCAATTGATAATGTCTCTAAGTCCACATCACAGAATTTCTTTAGTATAGTTACATTTTGGCACCAGCGGCTGTTAATATATAAAGATAGGCCTCCACCCTTCTTTTTACCTGATGTTTCTGCAATTCTGTCTGCTCTTTGTACCTGAAACCCTGGGATATGCAAGTTGCTATCATCCATTTACTCATTTAGCCAGGTTTCAATGAAGCAGAGAGCTGCTGAGTTGTAAAAATCATTGCATCTATTTAAAATAAGTATTTCATCCATTTTATTAGTAAGTGAACGTAAATTAGTTAGAGTGATGGGAGAGAGGTTTTTATCCCACTTTTCCTTAGTCTATTCAAAATTGCTGTTTACTTACCCCTTCTTTACCTCCTCCATTCGTTTTTATGCATTATTCAGAGGAAGTTGCTTCTTCCTGTGTTAGAAACTCTTCTCCATTTGTAAAGATGGGATGGTAGTGGTGGTGTGAAGTCAGAGAAAGCTGTCCATCAAAGAAACATTGCTTGATGCTTAGCAGTTGCTTGAATATGAAATCCGTAGTGAATCACAGAGAATAAAAAACAGCAGATCAGAGAGCATTTCACCAAGGCTGCCATTGGCAGCACCATCTTGGTAAAGAATACATCCAATGATATATCCAGTGATATAAATTATAACATCTGAAGTCATGGAAAGTATACAACCACATATGTTCTGATACTAGAAAATGAACCTTCATTTTCCCAGCCGAAGGATTATTTGGGAACCAGATGAGATGAGATGAGATGGAATGCATATAGCCTGTAGTTTACGTTCTGCCAAGACTTCCTGAGACAGTAACAATCACATGCTGTTCCAAAAAAACTTGCTTTTTATTTCAATGGCTGTGAATTATATGCATTCACAGCCCGTAATGAGTCCAGTTTAAGAATAGTCCAACAGAACTTTGGTCAGAGGAAACAGTCCAAGGTCCACTCAAATTCTCTCAATACTTTGGCCAACAATGGGAAGATGCAAATTAAGCCAGAGAAGAGGAAGTTTGAAAGTCTCTTGCTAAAGAGGAGAAAGGGGGGGGTTGCCCCCTCCCTACCAATTCACACTGGCTATGAAGGTTTGATGCTTCAAAGGAGAACGAGGTACAGAGCTTAGCATTCCACATTCACTCCTGGCTTCAATATATCTTCGTCTTTATCACAGGAAATCAAATTGCTATTCCGATATAACAATAATTCCGATATAACAATCATTCTTTACTTTTAGGAGTCCAAATTAACTGTTTTTATACTGGGGGATGGCAGGAATTCAGATCTACGTATCATTTCACTTTTGGGATTGCAGATCTCAGGGTTTCAGGATTCCAGATTTTTAAACCATCTTTTTACTTTTGGGTTTCAGGAATTCAGACACAACAAAATTCTTTACTTTTCTTGGGAATTTGAAGATATAACTACCATTTTACTTAGAAGTCTGCTACAGTCTTTCAGGATAAGGCTGATAAGCACCCACCTTTATCTCCCTTGAAATGCTGCCAACGCCTAAATTGCCAATTAGATGTACAAGGCCAAACGGAGCACATAGTCAACACAGAGCTGCAGAGTTTAAACCGACCAGAACGAATAAAGTTGCTTCCTGCAAAGGCTCATGTCCCTTTGCTCCTCCTTTATGTCTTATGGGAGGGGCCAATCATCTCCAAGCCTACACTCCAGAGTCCCCCCTTTTGTCTTAACTGTTTTTGGTTTCTGGCAGCTCTGCACAAGCGCGCCCTGGGAACAGACTTCCCATTCCTCTGCCTCGTTGATGTCAGATTCTGGAGGCTCTAGAGTCAGCACATAACTCTCAGATGGGCCTGGCCCCATCTGTGTCGGACACAGATCCCTCGTCCATGTCCTCCCCAGACTCCAGGACTGGCCCATGGTCCTCCCACTGTCTGACTCTGCTGCCAGCTTCGCAAGCCACCAGCGGACCACATTTACTAACCCTTGGAGATAGCCAGACATGCCAGGGTAGGAAAAAACACACTCTCTGGATATTAAATGAATATCTATTCTGCTTGTTGAGTCTTCCTGCAGCTGGGCTAGCAATTGGTATCAAAATATTTCCATTATATCCTGATTGAAAAGCTAATAATGTTAGATCATGCCTTGTGTTCGGTTTAGACATAAACAAACATGTAGAACTTATAGGAGGTATCTTTCTGCATTCACCCAGAATCTTCAAATGAGTGTATCAAAGAAAAACAGTTTTTATAAATTGTGTTAGTGTGTGTGATGCTCATTAGGCAATGATGCAATCAACCCCATGTTAATATTGTATTAAGATACCTTCTTCTTGTAACTCAGTGTTGTAATTCCCCTTCCTGCGCCATTTTGTAATGTATGAATGCTAATAGACTAGCCATTAAATTGCAAGTGTTCCTATACTTTTTCCATTGTATACTAGAGGGAAAAAAAGAGAATATTTCAGAGTAAAGCAGAAGCACATCTATGCCAATATGGAGGGAAGCATCATTGGTTACAGAACTTCAAAATTCATACACAAAATCAAGCACACAATGACTGGCATGTATTATATCGTGGTTGATTTTTCCCCCCTCCTGTTATTGATTTTTTTAGTATATTAAAAAATTTGTCCGTAAGTCTTGACTTTGCAACTTGTCCTTGAGCCTAAAATTTGTCTATGAAGAAAGCTGATGGTAGGAGGAGAGAATATTAATACAAAAATGTTGCTCATCTGATTAAAAAAAATTCTCCTCTTAAGAAAAGGATTTCTTTTTTCAACCTGTAATGCATAGGCTCATAATCCTACCTGTGCAAATCAATTGTGACATGCTTACAGAAGAGATGTGGCATTCAGCAGGTTCTGACCAGTTCTGGAGAACCGGTAGCGGAAATTTTGAGTAGTTCAGAGAACCAGCAAATACCAACTCTGACTGGAGATTTTACAGTATCCTTCCCTTGCCACGCCCACCAAACCACGCCCACAGAACCAGTAGTAAAAAAAAATTGAATCCCACCACTGTTACAGATACATTCATCAGCATTCATATATACATAGTCCTCGGCTTATGACCAGTTGCTTAGCAGCCATTTGAAGTTACGGTGGACACTTCCCATCACCTACAACATGGTTCTGAAATTCTGACAGCTGCCCTCACCCACCAAAACCATCCTGTGATCGCACATTGGGTACTCAGCAGCCAACCTGCATATACAGCCATTAGCAGTATCCGATTGTTATATGCCTGCGGTTTAGTTTTGCTGAAAATCAGTATTTACTTTGTGCTTTCAGGCAGAACTAGCACATAGCAAACAACAGGTTCATTTTACAACCATTGCGTTCCTCTGAATGCCACAGAAAAGATAAAAACTGAATCAGTCACGTGGGTGAACTGTTTTACGACCATCATAACTTACTGTAATGACAGGCTCCTATTATGGTCATAAACTGAGGAGTACCGATACACATCCGAGACACACCAGCCGCACAACTACAAAATGCACTTTTTTCTCAAATTTGATGAACCATATCAAATGGCCTTTTAAAAGTATATTTGGATGCCCAATTATCAATGTAAGTAGACATCGTTTACATACCAGCATTCTGTATTAGCATTTCTGAACAATTCGATCTAAGGGGAAGATTGAAGGGATACAGATCCTAGCCACACAGATGTGAATTGCTGCTGAATGATTTTCCAGAACAAATGCTTTAGTATGATTCAGAATGGCTATTTGGGTGCATTTAATGTCCATCACAGAGATATCTCAAAGGAGCCAAGTATGTATCCAATCTGGGTCCATCACACATAAAACCTGCGTTCCCCTCCAGGTCTGTGTTTGTGTGTGTAGGATTTTTCACGAACTTGCATGCTCGAAGAAGGCAGAACTATCTCCCAACAACTCAGGAAAAGTGGACCAAGAAGGTATCCAGTTATATTAAGATTACTGATCTTTCAGTTAATGTATCTCCATTGGCTTGTGAATATATCTGTTTGGACATTATTGTTTTGTTATATTGAGATGCTAATGAGACAGCAATCCCATCTTCCAATGGAAGTCAGGAACCAATCCCAGATATTTGTGGCAGAAGTTGTCCAAGTTATCGTTTTGCTCCAGCACTCTTTTAGCATCCCCATTTGGTACATGCCATGGGGTTGTCCTCTGGCAAGAAACTTGAAAAGGAGGGCAAAGAGGCACACAGGCTTGTCCGAAACATAGTAAACCTCATTTACCATTAATAGTCTTGATTTGGATTGGGGGGGAAATAAAACCAGAATTTAGTTTGTAAGGCTTCAGTACCTCCTGGAGGTATGCCGGTAAAACTAAGCAATGTTGTTGTATACCCGTACAACATCTACGTGGTTCTCAAGGGCCTCTAACAACTTCACGGCCCCCTCCATCTCTGCGTCTGATAGCTGAGCGTGGACAACTGGGATGAATTCAAGGCCAGCAGACAAAGAACAAAGGCCCAGCGACTCCAGTTTTTCACGTACTTGGTGCAAGGTAGACACAGCGGAAATAAACTAAGCGGTAGAGAAGAAGACAAAAGAAAGGGGGGGGGGGAGATATTGTTATAGCCAGTGCCTAGAAATCTAGAAGACCTGATCAAACCATTTGAACCATGCACCAAAGTTCTCAAACCGAGGGGGTGGGTTTATACCCTTTGGGAGACTAAAAAAATCTGCAGGTGTCAAACATTTGCAGAATTTACATATTTAGATCAGGATTGCTGTTATCACTTGTTCTGTGTGTAGAAACAATAGAACAACAAAGTTGGAAGGGACCTTTGAGGTCTTCTAATTCAACCCTCTGCTTAGACAAGAAATCTTATACCATTTCAGACAAATCTCTTTTTAAAAACTTCCAGTGTTGGAGCATTCACAACTTCTGGAGGCAAGTTGTTCCACTGGTTAATTGTTCTAACTGTCAGGAAATTCCTCCTAAGTTCTAGGTTGCTTCTCTCCTTGATTGTTTCCACCCATTGCTTCTTGTTCTGCCTTTAGGTACTTTGGGGAATAGCTTGACTTCTTCTCTGTGGCAGCACCTGAGCTATAGGAACACTGATATCATGTCACCCCCTAGTCCCTCTTTTCATCAGTCTAGACATACCCAATTCTAGCAACCATTCTTTATATGTTTTAGCCTCCAGTCCCCTAATCTTCTTTGTTGCTCTTATCTTCCCTCTATTTCTAGAGTCTCAACATCTTTTTTACATCGTGGGGACCAAAATTGGATGGAATATTCCAAGTGTGGCCTTATCAAGGCAGTGGGATTAACACTTTACGTGACCTTGACTTTATCCCTGTTTATGCAGCCTAGAATTTGGTGTTTTTTTTGGGCCGCTGCAGCACACTGCTGGCTCATATTTAAACGATTGTCCACTAGGACTCCAAGACCCCTCTCACAGTTACTACTATTGAGCCAGGTATCGCCTATACTGTACCTGTGAACCGGTATACAAAGAAAGAATCTTGTTCACACTGAGCAGGAGTGAGTTCTAGCAGAGCTTGGAATGCACTTGGTGATGACCAGTTACCTATTGGCTGCACCTCTGTCCAGGTGAGAGGTTTCAGAGTGCTACCTTGCAGTGATCCAGCCCTATATTCCTCTGGCATGCATCTCCATGGTGGGTGTAGTATCTTGGTGGGATAGGGGTGGGCAAGAGCCACAATGTACAGGTAGTCCTCAACTTACAACTGATGGCTTAGTAACTGAAGTTATGACCTACTTGGAAAAGGGGACATAGGATCTGAATCTGAAGTTCCAACGGTTGTCCCTCCTGCCCTGTGGTCGCATTACATTTTATGACAGTTTTGCTGCATTCACTTCTGCTTTTCAGTGAAAATGTTCAGCAATGAGCCCATTTAACGACAGCAGTGTTCGTTTAATGATATTCGCTTAATGACTGCTGCAAAAAGTATCATGAAATCATGTGGATCCCATGACCAGATAGTTTTACAACCATTATGATTTACAGACATAATGGGCAGGCTCCATTGTAACTTGAGAGCTACCTATAGTCTTGCGCAGGGAACCATTTCTAAGCCATATGAAATTTTATCAGTTGTACAAAGACACCCTTGATACCAACTTATAATTCAGGGCAGGCAAGATTCTCTTGCCTCTTCCCTCCCCCCCACTCATTTTTGTGGCCCACTGTCCCCTCCACATAGTGCCACTGAAACTCAGTGTCAAGCCAATGATTTTGTTATAAAGACCGCCCAATTTGACCTCGACTGTAATAATGATGGCACGATGGGCAATATTCTAGAAATTATATGGAAATTAGTTGCCATTTTTTTTCACTTATGAGGTTTGTTTTTTTCCTTCTCCTTTTCTCAGCCTATAGCCTGGGGGTTTTCTGGGGATCTCCCATTCAAGTACAAACTCAGCCAACCTGTGTAAGCTTTGTGAAATCACTCAAAGTTTGCTAGAAGTTTGTCCCTACCTTCTTGTTGGAACAACCAATTGGGACACAACATATATTTTTTTAAAGAAAAATTAAAGAGTGAAAATGTGCGCGGCTTACTTTGCTAAATTTCAACCCACCCTTTCAACTTACCCTGAGCACCACCTTCTCATCCTCCTCTTCCTCTTCCTGGACATCTTCAGCTCCAGCTTCAATTGCCAAGTCAAGTGCCTGATCCAAGCTGACAGGATTGCTGGATTTGTCTTCCTTGCTGACAATCACAACCCCCTTTTTCTCAAAATGATTGTGAATCCCTTCGGTAATGCTCCCCCTGCAAGGAACCAAGTATTTAGCCTAAGACAGGGTGTCAAACTTCATTTCATTGAGGGCCGCATCAGAGTTAAGTTTGACCTGGGGGGCTGGAGTGGGTGTGGCCAGGGTGCACGTGGCCAGCATGACATCACTTGTTTCGGGTGGGTGGGCTGTGATTGCCAAGCGCTCTGCCAATGAAAATGGCCTCCTAAGCTCATTTTTAGGCTGCAACGGCCTCTTACAACTCTCTGTTGGTGAAAAGGGAGCCAGGAAGGGCTGCGCACGGCCCTCACGAGCTCCGTTTTCGCTGGCAGAGGCACCATGGGCCAGTCCTTTGCTGTTTCAAGGGCGATCCCGTGGGCCAGATCTAAGCACTCCGCAGGCTGGATCTGGCCCCCAGGTCTTGAGTTTGACACTCCTGGCCTAAGACTTTAGCAGTGGCTTGCCAGAACTTCTACAGCCTCTGATATGGAAGGACTACTTACAGGAAAACCCAGTTCTTCCAAAGGCAAGGAACAAAGCACCCATATCTTCTTCAGCACATCCCTGTTAAACTTGCATTCCACTCCCCTACCTCTTGTAGCTAGCCAGCCAATACTCCTGAGGTTGCACTAACCCGTTTTTGTTTAAAAGATATCGGATTTCATTGGAAGTCCTCTTTAAGTTGTCTGTCAGTATCTCAACATATAAGGATGAGCCACCTGGACCTCGGATGCCGCAGAGGTGATAAATGGATTTCATTTTCTCCTGCCAAAGAAGTTAACAATGATAACCATCAGCAACTCACAAAATCTTTGCCATCACTTCAGCTTTCAAGTATTAAGTATATTGTCCTCATCTGTCCCTTTAAAGCAATTTAACAAAAGCGGGATCCAAATGCATTTGTTTATTTAAAAGATTTGTGTGGGCACCTATCTTAAACACAACTCTGGGTGACAACAATGAAAGCAGTAACTCAAAATCATAGACCACAAAACCATTACAAAAATGCAGCGCTTAAGTCATCTCCTTGGGATGCCCCACAACCAGCCTAGGTATCTTCCTTCTATCCTAGCACCTGGGTAACAAACTAGCTCTTGGTGGTGTACCAAAAGGCTAAAAGGGAAGGGGTCTGCCAAATCACCAGAGGGTGTGCCTGAAGGTAGGATAGCCACGGAAAAGGTACCCTTCTGAAGTGCCACTAGATGGCAAGATTTCAGGGAAGGGACTAGGGACATGCCCGTGCTACCTATCTGATATGGTAGGGTAGGCAGCTATTCTCAGCAGGAGGCGGCCCTGCAAATATCTGGGTCTTATTCCATGTATGGTTTTAAAGAGGTAACCAATACTTTGAATTGTACCTGGGAGGAAGTTGGGAGCCAGTGCAGCTTTAACAAGAGATGTAATATGCCAAACCTAAGGAACACTTAATATAGCACATGCTGCTGTTGTCTAAACCAGTTATAACTTCCAGGTGTTCTTCAATGCATCCCTTAAAAATGAATTCCTTGAAGATATTTCTATGTCGCTTTTCTGCTCTACAAGCTCCACAAAGGAATGGATAATTTAAGACCAAAAAAAAAAAAATCAAAGCAAAAACTGGCTGTTCCTAGTAACTGTTTTGCCCCCAAATACAGATAGTTCTCAACTTACAACATTTCATTTAGTGATGTTCAAAGTTACAGTGGCACTGAAAAAAGGGACTTATGACCGTTTTTCATAGTTATGAGCTTTGTAGCATCCCTATGATGTGGTCAAAATTAAGATGCTTGGCAACTGGCTCATCTTTATGACAGTTGCAGAGTCCCAAGGTTATATGATCCCTTTTTGCGACCTTCTGACAAGCAAAGCCAATGGGGAAGCCAGATTCACTTAACAACCATGTTACCAACTTAGCAACTGCAATGATTCACTTAATGACTGCAACAAGGTCGTAAAATAGAGCAAAACTCACTTAACAATAGAAATTTTGGGCTCAATTGTGGTAATAAATCAAGCACTACCTAGATTGCCTAGATTGTAATGTCTCTTTTTTGCCTCTATTGCTGGCTCACAAAGGATTCAACAGGGACATTCAGAGGGAAGTGTGGGGGAAGGCACATTTGTTGTGATATATGTCTTGTATCCTGACCTAAGAATATAATTCTTATTTTGACAATGATGTCACGTGGCTTATCAATAGGATGACACCATCATCATTTTGGCATTGTCTTAGATTATATTGTACATCTTTGGCTACAGCCATCCTTTTATGTAGACCTCCAACAACTCAGAAACTTACCGCACCAGAGATGGCTGTTTCAATAGAGCCTTTTGGCATACTCTTCCTTCGGCACACCTCAATAATGTTGGCTAAATTGGTGTTAAGTTGTGGGTTCGATCCTCCTTCTGAAAAGGCAATGTAGAAAGATGGCAGGTCATTATCATTTGTTTAGGAAACACAACACTGCATTTTAGAGAACAGGAAATAAGAAAGATTTTTGTTCAGTTAGTACAAGAAAAGCAACAATGCAGATAGCAGGAAGTAAGGCTATACAAAAAAAATAGGTGTGCTGAGTTCAGCTATACATAATTAAGGATGTGCACACCATGGTTTCTTCAAACAGTTGTAATTAAGGAAGAGATAACATTAAGGACCCAGCCTAGTTTTAAACGCAGAGCATCTTCTATTAAATCTGGGGAAAACCCTCTGAAGGGCTCATTTTTATTATTTTTATAAATAAGTCAAGGCAGCAAACATAAACAATACTCCTTTCTCCTCCTATTTTCCTCACAACAACCCTGTGAGATGGATTGGACTAAGAGAAAGCCAGTGTTTGTGCCTAAGGTGGGACTAGAACTCACTGTCTCCTAGTCTCTAGCCTGGTGCCTTAATTACTAGACCAAACTGTTCGGTCACTGTTTCATCCTAAGTCTTAACTATCTTAGCAGAAAAGATAGTTCTGTTCACCAGAAAACAGCAGTACATGTCACAACACTGTCTTTTCTGCAAGCCCCTCACTCAGACAAGTTAGCACAACAAGAACCACGCTAGGGGTGGGATTCAAAAAGTTTTACCACGGGTTCAGTGGGCACGGCTTGGAAGGTGCACTTTGCGCAGGAGCAGAGGCGTTGCAACTCACCTCCTGCAAGCCTGCACTCTCCTGGTCACTTCAGCAGCTGCCGCGCGTTACTCTGCTGTGCCGCGCAAAGCAGCTGCGCTTCAAAAGCAGAGGATGACCATGGGAACTGGGGCGGGTGGGTGAGCCCAACAGCAACGCGGCGGAGAGAACTGATTCGGTCTCCACTGCTCATCGCCACTATCGGCTTGGCAGAACTGGGCCGAATCGGTAGGATACCATCAATGAACCACACTTAGCTAAGATAGGTTTGTCCAACAACTATTGCCTGGGATATGGTTTTCCATATGGTAACTCACAAACCACAAGTTGCTGGCTTCACACAACACGCTGAGCTAATATCCAACATTATGGTTTCATGTCATATTATGGCTTAGCCACAGCAGTCCTTAGGAGCCTTTATTTTGATTATAAAAAAAAGCCAGTGAAATATTGGATCCGTACCCTTCACAGCAAAACGGATCATCATGGTAAGTTTTTGGAAGACCAAGGAACGTGCAGTATCTTTAGGCCCCTTAACATTTTTGACTTTGGACCACTTGTTGTGTCCAGCAAGTGTGGCACTGGAGGCATGGATGGCACAACTGGGATGATGGAAAAGCATCACACGGGATGGTCGAAGCAGAGGACTCAGCCGTGTGTAAATGCAGCCCACGGACATGACTGGATTGGCCAAAGACCTGGGAACAAAAGAGACTATGAAGGAACATTACCATGGGAGCCATTTCAAAGAAAATATTATCTCTATATATAAACAGGGTGGTGGTGTCCTGTTAAATCAGTCCTAATTCTTGGTGACCACAGCAACAAATCCATACAGGTGTCTTGATGACATTTTCAGATGCAGCTTGCTGTTAATTTTTTTCTTCAGCTTGAGGGAGAATGACTGGGCCAAAGTCACCTAGCTGACTTTCATAGCTAGGACAGGACTGGAATGCAAAAGTCTCCAGGGTTCAAATGCTGCCCCTTTAAACCCTTTACCAAACATTTTCCAAAAACGGATCCACACCACAAAAAACGGCTCAGTTATGAGTGGGATAATCACAGCTACCCTCCCCAAAAGATATAACCCACATGTATAGTTTATCTGAACATTTCAGAAATGTAAATTTTGAAAGTTCCCCCTCTCAGGCCAACAGCAAAAAGCTTAAAACAACCAAACCTAATGATCTATTTATTATGTCCAAAGTGTTTTATTATGTCCAAAGGAATAGGATAGCTATCAAAAGAACACCAAAATAAGGTCCAAATCATTATTAATATTTTTTAAAAATGGATTATACTTTCAAGGATCCTCTTCTTCGAGGGTCTTCAAGCTTGACAGGTTTAAGACTTGTGGACCTCAACTCCCAGAATTCCTCCTCCAGTCATGTTGGCTCAGGAATTCTGGGAGTTGAAGCCCACAAGTCTTAAAGCTGCCAAGTTTGAAGACCCTTGATTTGTTGATTTGCTCTTTATTTCACACGTACAGGACAACGTCTGCAAGACGAGCCACGCTCCCCATTTCGGCATTTACCATTTATTATGGTAATGGCATAAACCTGCCTGCCCTAACCTTGGTTTCAATATGCCCGATTGGTCGGGGAAGACAGTTTTAACCCTGCGATCCTATACATAGGCGGAAAGACTTAAATGTCAGAGAAGGTCGGGTTGGGGGTCTTCCATCATTTGCTGAAATTAGGCCATTATTCCGCCCTCTCCATCAATTTCTCCCACTACCCTTACCTACCCACGAGTAACTTCGAAATAAAACCCCAGAATTCTGCAGAATCTTTCCGCTCACAGCTCCGCCCCGTCGGGGCAAGAGCCTGAAATTAACTCTTTCTTCTCGGCAAGTCAATTTTCCAATGCCGATTTTTTCCCCCCCGTCCTTTATTTCTTTTTCAGTGGAAACTCACTCCCCAGTCCTTCGCTTGGAAAGATCCCCTGAGCCGCTTTGCAAAGACCAGCGTTCCTTGCACTGAACCTTAAGGAGATGAGAGACAAGGGAGGAAAAGACCGGGAGGGAAAAGGAAAGCGAGCGACTTCGTGGGTGAAGTCACTTCCGGACTTGGGCCGCCCGGGCAAAGTGAAACGTCAGCGCATGTGCAGAGTCCTCCACCTCAAAAGTATTTCACCGCTAGCTAGCAATGGAAATATCTGTGATAATGGCTGGCGTCTGCTTCGTTGCTCCAAAGAATAAAAATCTTTCTTGCACCGCAGTTTCCTCTAATGGCAACTTTGTACATAGGAGTAGGCAATTGGTTGTCATTTGGATTACAATTCCCATAGCATCTGACAATGGGGAATGCCGGGTGGGGATTACTGAAGTAATAAAATTACTGGTGCACCCCAGGTTCTCTGATACCTGTGCAGTTCATGATATGCCATGAGCAGATTTCCAGACAGGGGTTGCTCGGGGCAATGCTGGGTAGTGATGTGCAAAATGTTAAGGTTTTTCTTCCTCCAGATATGTTCTCTCTCTCCCCATTCCCCATTTAATACTTCTTTAAGTTGGCTTCCTGGTATATTTCATACCTTTCCTGCCTTACAATGGCATAAAATGCCACACTGTTAATTTTTTGACACATTTTTAAGGGGTGCAAATAATGTGTTCAAAAGCCACAAAGGCTGTGTAAGAATACAGCCTGTCTTTAATGACAGGCTAAGCATCACTTTTTAGAATCACAAATGAAAACATTACAGTCTATTCTTTGCTTAAAATTCTGTTTCTCAACCTTGACAGCTACAGTATATAAGCCCTGTGGATTTCAACTCCCATAATTCCCCAGCCAGTATACTGGGGTTACTGGCCTCCAAGATGCGCTTGTCGTTCTATTTGAAATCTTTGCTTTAATTGAAATACAGTAATTCAATAAGATTGCAATGATTCTTTTCAGAATAACAAGAGTTGGAAGGGATCTTGGAGGTTTTCCAACCTCCTGCTCAAGGAGAAAACCCTATACTGTTTCAGACAAATGGTTGTCCAATCTCCTCGTAAAAACCTCCAGTGATGGAGCACCCACAACTTCTGAAGGCAAGCCGTTCCACTGGTTAATTGTTCTTGTTAGGAAATTTCTTCTTGGTTCTAGGTTGCTTTTCTCCTTGATTAGTTTCCATCCATTGCTTCTTGTCCTGCCTTCAAGTGCTTTGGAAAATAGGTTGATCCCCTCTTCTTTGTGGCAGCACCTCAAATATTGGAACACTGCTATCATGCCCTGCTCCTTCTTTTCAGTAGATTAAACATACCAAATTCCTGCAACATATCTTCATATGTTTTGTCTCCCCAATCATCAATGTTGCTCTTTTCTGCAACCTTTCCAGAGTTTCAACTTTTTTTTTATAATGTGGTGACCAAAATTGGATGCAGTATTCTTCAGTTTCCACCAATACATTTCATACAAACCTGTTACATAATTTCCCCAATTTGTTTAAAAAAAAAGAAGAATGGAGAAGAATTAATTATCTTTGAAGACAGGCAATAAAAACTTATCTGGGATGTGACTGATATTTGTGCTAGCTTAATTTTTATGATTCATCTCTAACTTTCAGATCACAAATGTTAGTAGCTTAATATATTCTTTGAATGTTTGTTCTTTAGATTATTCAAAAAAGGTAGCTTATTACTTGTCCCAATCAATATAGCTACTAGAATCATTTAGTAAGAACTATTAAACAATACAGTTGTAGCCTACGAATATTCTAACAATACATCATTGTAAAAATCACACTAAGAGTATGTTTCATGTTTTTCTTACAACTTGCATTTTTTTTCTGTGTGCAAAGCAGTAGAGGGGTGTTGCCCTTTAGAATACTCAAAAAAGTTAGATTTCATGAGAATGAACTTTCATGTACAATACACAGAAACAAATATCTTTGCAAAAACTATAGTGAACAAAAAAAAAGTATAATTGAAATTTGTTTATTGGACTTGCAGCATGAATTATCCATGGCTAACTGAACTATGATTTACAGAATTCTTTCAATTGCTTTGATTCACACAGTACATTTCACTGTAAAGTACCATACTGTACTAAAGTACTGTAACCATTAAAAGCTAAACGTATTCAATATATTGAACCAAGTAGCTAAGAAAATTATAGAAACTATTTTAACTCCCTACCTCAATTAAAAACATTACATTTGCATATCCTGAATTCATTTTATTCCTAAAGTAGTTCTATTCTCTAAACTTGGCTATTGACTATTTTCTTGGATTTGGGGCAGTGGTGGTATTCTACTGGTTCGTCCTGGTTCTGGTGAGCCGGTAGTGGCGATGAGCAGTGGAGATGGAACCAGTTCTCTCCACCGCTCTGCTGTTGGGCCCACCCGCCCGCCCATGCTCCCACATTCACCTTTATCCTCTGCTTTTGAAGAGCAGCTGCTTTGCGCAGCAGCTACTGAAGCAACTGGGAGAGTGCAGGCTTGCAGGAAGTGAGTTGGAACACCTCTGCTCCTGTGTAAAGTGTCTGTTTGGTGCACGTGCACATACAAAGTGTGTGCATACGCCGCAAAGCATGCCCACCAAGCCACGTCCATTGAACCAGTAGTAGAACTTTTGGAATCCCACCACTGATTTGGGGGTAATAAATCTTGCTATCCTACACAAGAGAAAGCAGAAATGTCTATCTTAAGGGTTTATATATTATCCAAGGATACATTTCCCATTCTTGCCAGAGGCTTCGTCAGATAGGAAGCATAATCCTGCAGATAGGTGAAGGAGACATCCTGACAACTGGATGCAACACAAAAGACCACAAACAGAGGTTTGAAACAGAAATCCCATACTCCTTTCACAATTTATTCTGCTTTTTTCCCCTGTCCCCATATTAACTATTCATTTTTCTTCCCAGAGGGGACCGAGTAGTGTTATTTTGTCACAGGAATTAAAAAAGAGAGAGATGTTGATGGAGCGGTATAAACCAGTGTGTTTCTCAATCTGGGGAACTTTAAGGCATGTGGACTTCAACTCCCAAGAATTCCGCATGCTGGGAAAACTGATATAAACTGTATGTGGGTCTGTTATATTAGACATAGAAAGTGTTACTCAGATTTTTAGATTGATGCACCAATATCAGGAAGGAATGCATAAGTACAGGTAGTCCTCAATGTATGATCGCAATTCGGACTGGAACATCAGTTGCTAAGTGGTGCAGTCATTAAGTGAGTCATGTGACTGGATCCAATCTTATAACCTTTTTACTGTAGTTGTTAAGTGAAACATATGGTTAAGTGATTCATGTGGTCATTAAGTGAATCTGGCTTTCCCAGATTCACTTAATGACCATGTTATACTTTGACTTTGCTTGTTGGAAGCGGGCTTGGAAGATTACAAATTATGTTTATGTGACTGCAAGATGCTGCAAATGTGGTAATTGTGAACTGTGGCTAAGGGCCCAAATTGTGATCACTTGATCATGGGGGTGATGTGTTAGGAATCTGTCCACCAATTAGTTGGGTTGGCAATATATAAACCAACAATGTATGTTTGTAGCTTTAAGACAAAATCACTGTGTTGATTTGTACTATATTCCGATTGGTTGGTTGTGTTGTGAATTGCCATAAGAGAGAGCTAGAGATCATAGTTTGTTCTCTCTGACATTCTGTCTCTCTGACATTCTGTTTCTCTGACATTCTGTTGGCTATCTAAGGTTCTCTGTTGTGCTTATACTTTGATATTTTTGTTTACTGTAAATGACAAAGGCAACCGGTAAGAAGACTTTGTAATTGAATATTCTTTGGACTGTAAAACGTATATGACCTGGACCGTTTATTGGACTGTGCTATTTCTTAAAGTAAACTTTAACTCAATTTAGTGTATCTGTGTGTGGCTGAATAATTATTCATAATTACTCCCATAAACGTTTCTATGTGCATATCCTTGTTACTCAAGGGTTATTCTGTACGTATCATAACATGATGAAATGATTGTAACTTCAAGGATAAGTCATAAAAAGCCATGATGGTGCAGGGGTTAGAATGCAGTACTGCAGGCTATTTCTACTAACTGCTAGCTGACTACAATTTGTCAGTCCAATTCTCTCCAGGCTCATCCTTCCATCCTTCTGAGGACAGTAAAATGAAAACCCAAACTGTTGGGGACAATATGCTGACTCTCTAAATCACTTAGAGAGGGCTGTAAAGCACTGTGAAGCTATGTATAAGTCTAAGTGCTATTGATATTGCTAAATTACTTTTTCTGAGGCTGTAATAACTTAAATAACTTAAATGAACAGTAATAAGTCAAGGACTACCTGTAGTATCACATACACTGTAAATATCTATTGTACAATACAATATATTGTAGCCACAGACATCCGGTGCTGATAAACTAATTAACACATGCAATCTGTCTTAATCCAGAAATTCCAGTCCTCATAATTTTCAGCAACTACTTTTTCTCCTCCCTGGACAAGATTCCACTTGACAGCCTGGTGTCTTTCAGGAGTATAACATGCATATCGCCTTCTGAAATTCCCAATCTAAACCTGTGATTCCAAGTATTGGTTGTAGAAATGAAACTCCATCAAAAGGAGGTTTCTTTGCCATAATGGAAAAACCTGCTTCATACGTTATAAAAGGACCTGGGAAAACTATCCATCTACATACATAGTGCACAAACACATTTATGTGAACATTGGCAGTTGCATAATTGAGTAAAAAAGAAAGTATAAATTAACCACTGTAATGGGGTTTATAAGACCAAAAATTATTATTAGATAGGTTACTATGCAAAGAGCTTAATCTATCTGATTAAGAGACATGCAAAAGGACGCATTATATTATATCTTAGTGTTTCTTAATGTTTGGACAAGACTGTGGAGTAATTGAATTATTGATGTGGTTCAGATGGAAAGTATTTGCGTGGTTACAGTTTGTAGCGTGTTGTCTTAAGCAACTAATTGTAGCTTCAGTTAGTAACTGTGGCAAGTAACTATGCCATTTCTATTAGAAGTCAAAAAGAAGCTCCCATTGAAATCTATCATATATTGAGCTCATTCATAATATAATGGTGGTGGGCAAAACACAACTAACAGAAACTTACTGTAGAAAGCAAAGAAGG